GGGGGGGAGGAACTTTGTGCTGGGAGAAGGGCCCAGGATGTTGCCCCCGGATACCCCCTACCCCATCCCTCCCCAACTCTTTCCTACCCCCTCTTCGCCAGGAGAGGGCTGAGTCCGGGCGCACTCGTGACATGGGATGTGCCGTGCATGCTCCGCTGCGTGCGTGTGCGGCAGGATGAGGATGGCGACGGGGTCCGGAAGGAGGATGGGCACGTTATGAATTTCTAAAACAGCAGCTGGCTGGCAGCACAGCCTGCTTCGGTCGTCTTTTCATCCACCTTGTCCCCAGGCTGGCTGGCAGTGACACTGAGAGCTTGTCCCTGCATATTCCCAGCCTGTGGTGAAGCAGCGGAGTCGGGGGCTAGCCCGGACTTTCCAGTTCATGTTTGAGCCATGTTGCACAGATACAAATGGGTCAGAGATGCATGTTTTGTGAAATGGTGCTGCAGAAATAATGACCTCATTTCTGCCATCTATAAATAAATGAAGGTGAAAGGGCGCATTTCCTACTCTCAGCTCTCTCTGGAGGCTGGATTAAGATTGAGAGCTGTCTGGCTGACAGACAGAGATCTTTCACTAATAGATATTAAACTACAACTTCACTGTGATTGGCATCTAAAGGATCACCCAGCAAACTACACCACTGGGGAATCGTAATATTAGTTATGTCATCATTTATGGTCAATGTGATTTTTCTGGCTGCTGAGGATGCCAAGGGTAAGGCAGTTTCCAAGGGAAAGGCGTCACTTGCATGTTTTGGGTTTTTCTTCTTACATGGTTAGTGGTGTGAGTCGAGGTTTCTGGAGGCCTCAGCGACTGAGGTCCCTCAAAGCTCCCTGTTTCTGCAGTGGGATCTTACAATTGGTTGATATTTTTTCCTTTTCAGATCTTAAAAGAAAAATTAACATATATCTAAATGTGCTGCTTAGATTTCAGCTATTCGGCGATTTAACTCTGTTGTCGATCAGACACAGACTGCTCTGGGTGCAGGTGGGGTAAGTAAAACCCTGGGTGCAGGGCAGTCCCAATGAGCACAGCCCAGGACAACCTTTGTGCTTGAATGTTGGCATGTCTGGTCAGTGAGGGCACATGTGTCATCCCTGCGTTGTGAAATCCCTCCCTGGCCTTGCTCAGGGCTGCCACTCTCCTCTTCCAACCCAGCACCTCTGCCTTGGGATGGTTTTTGTGCTGCTGCTGCTTCTGCATCCTATGTGGGGCTTGGAAAAAATCAATAGATACACCTGAGCTGCACTATTGGGACTTCTCCAGCCTCCCTGGTATGAGCCACTGAGCTTGAAAGAGAAAAAATACTTTTGTCCCATGGCCCTGGGGACTGTCGCCAACATGCTGTCCTCTGTAGCGACCCACAGCCCCCTCCTGCCTGGCCCCTCTGTTTGCAGGTGATGAGGCTCCTGTTTGAATTTGGCACAGGGTAGGAAGTAACTGGAGATGTAGAGCCTCCCCTTAGCATCTGTCCCAGGACCATCCCATTACCTGAGGTGCCTTTTTTGGGGAGTCCTCCCAGATTGAAGGCTGCAGAGGTTAGTGACTGTCATTCAGCTGCCAGTGTGGGAACCAGTGCTCCTGGTTTGGCATCCTGTGCCCTGCCAGGTGCACAACACACTTGACATTATCACCAGGTGATCTATTACTGCCATGATCATATGTCATTTATCAGAGTTGCCTAATTGATGTTTGCAAATTAATTTATGAAATACGTGGAGATCCTTCTGAGAAGCAGTAGCAACACTCGAGGCCACTTGCTGTGACTCTTGGTCACAGGGCACCTCAAGGTGATGGATGAGCTGTGATCTGAAGACTTTCAGCTGTTACCAGGGAGCTCGCCTTTATTTTTAAGTCCACAGAGTCTCTAGCTGGTAGCAAAGGACCGGTGCAGCACGAACGGTGATCATCCCTGGGGCACAGCACCATCGCAGGGGGCTGGCACTGTGGGTGCTCTCACGAGGCGTTGGGAAGCCGGTGTCCCTGCAGCACTGCTGGGTGCAGAGGTGGCTTTATGGGGCTGGGGTTGCTAGGGGCTGTGGTGATGGTGTGGCTGCCTCTGAGTGCATAGCTGGGCCTGCTGGCATTTTCGTTCCCGCCGCCTCCATCGGAGGTAGCCATGGAGATCGGTGGCGATGCTCTGCCCACGCGGAAGGAGGCTCAGCAGCATCCTCGCCCCCGGGCACCCGTGGCCAGCAGGGGCCCCGAGCGGGGCTCGCTGGGTGCGCGGGGTCGGCATTGGGCGCCGGGGCTCACGTGGTGAGCGGTGTCTGCCGTGGCCCTGCCGAAATGCTGCGTCTCGGTGGGGACGGGAGCCCCTCGGGATGCCCCTGGCCCTGTGGCCGTGGCAAGGGGGGGGGGGGGGTGGCGTCTCTCAGGGGTTTTCTGGCTCTCGTGCTGGGTGGCTCCGGTGCTCCTACTGATCCTCCACCGTGAATTTCCAGGGCCAAAATCTGCCTGCTAGTTCAGGCCAGAATTTTTCCTGCCTCTCCAGTAATTTCCTGCGGCTGCGCCGCGCTTCAGCCAGTCTCACGCAGGGAAGGGGGGGCACGGAGGGTGCTTGGAAAAGTACCTTTAAGACGAAGAGGAAGGGGAAGAGAAGCTGCTTAGCTGGCTTTGTTCTAATAGCAGTAATCACCTGAAGGGCGACCATGAGCCCACGCCGCCGGGTCCGCGCAGCCCTGGCCCTCCCCGCCGCACCGCCCCGGCCCTGCTTCCTCCCCGATGGCCGCCTGCACTTTGCTCCTGCTTGGCACAAGTGCACTAGACTGGCTTTATTGTATCCCCCCATTACATAAATGGGGGAAAGGTTAGTCAGAAGGTGAATATGAGGCGTCTTGAAGGGAAGCCGGCGACTTAAATACCCCGAACTCGCCGGGCTGCCGAGCCTGAAGGGAGGAGAAAAAGCAGGACTGCGATTTTGACCTTGTTTTTTTTCCCTCTTCTGACAGTTTGTTCAGACACTGCCGCTGCCCACAGCGAGCAGGACTTGTGCCGAGAGGAGGAGGGGAACTCTGCAAGGTAAGCCGGGCTTTTTAAAGGTTGTCTGCTTCTTGTATTGCTTTCTAAAAGCGGAGGTGGAGGTGGAGGCAGAGGTGGCGACCCCGCGCCAGGGAGCACAGGGATTCCCACCGCCTCCGCTTTTCCTGCCTGCAGCCTTCTCTCGTTACGGGTCACCACTGAGAACAATGGCGATTTTCTGTGCTTTTTTCTGCCCTGTTTTAGTGATGTAGCGAAAGGCAGCGAGCGCTCAGGGGTGGGCTCCCCGGCAGCCCTGCTCCCACCGACAAGGTTATGAATAAGCCGTGCTGAGATCAAGGATCTTTCTTCAAAATGTTAATTAAACGAATAACGGCGTGTTGTTATGGTTTGAAGACGGAAGTGAGGTTTAGCTTTGTTAAGGAAGTGACTGGTGTGGAAATATTTACAGTCTTCCTCGAATTTCAGTTATTCCTATTTTCCCTGGGGGAAGAGGGCAAATCTGGCTGATGCTTCAGAGGTTCTGTAACCCGTTTCTCTTGGTGGAGTGTAACGTGGGGGTTCGATGAGGTCCAGTGTGACGGTGTCTGGGGGCGGGAGGCTGTGACTGTGGTGATTCTCTTCCTGTTTCATGACATAACATGCCACATACCACCGGGAGTTTTGCAGGAAGCAGGGATAAATC